ACACACACACACACACACACACACACACACACACACACACACACACAAATTGTCTCTCATTGATCGTGCCAGTTTAAAACCTAATGTGTGCGGTTTGGGTGGTTCTTGCTTTCTCACTTGCATTACTGCTTGCTATGTTTTTCTTTCAAAGCAATAAATTCTGCAGGGCTTAGTAGAGCATTCCTGTGCTCTCAGCACTTGACAGGTAAAGGCAGGTAGGTCTACTACAACCTGTTTGGCTCTACTCCCTCTGCTGTGTGCTCCTACCTGAACACCCTTCATCAATCTGCACTTTTCTTTTGAAATTTTCTCTTTCCTCACAGTTTTGTACACTCAGCTTTTTCATTCTCCCACCATACCCCACCCCACCCCATCCCACCCCACCCCACCCCATGCCACCCTCAAACTTGAAGAATCTGAAACAGGAAACCATACTTGATCTCTGGGTCAAGCTAAGTCTGTAATTCTTGTTAAGTGTGGTTTCCTTGTTCAGAAAGGAATGGCTAAAACTCAAGTGGCCTAGCAGTATATGCAGGGACAGAAGACATAATATGCAAATGGTTCAGCACAAAATACATTTCAGAATAGACTTTTTCCTCTCTTTTCTTCATTTTCCTTCTAAAACAATAGCTTACTTTCCTCTTCTGCTTATGTTTCATCCTTCTTTCCCCCTCATCTTCCCTCCGTTGCATCAGGCCTTCCTTTATTCTCTCTTTTGATTTTTCATTTCTCACTTTCCTGTCTCCTCCCTCTCTGGGGGCTGAGTCACTCTGGAGTATAAGAGAACATCCAGCAGGGGAGTGTTACAGAGAGGAGAGCTCTGGATTCTGAACCTGCCAGAAGCAAAGATGGAGCAAGCCAGCCTCACCACGAAAACACCCAGCAATGTAAGTCAGGGTTTGCTCTTGGAATGTAGTCTCCTGGATGGTCATAGTTAATACTACATACACTCTACTATTTAAGGCTGCTGAAAATGTCCTTTACACAAAGGAAGAACTCCTGTAATTTGAAAGTCAGTTTTAGAGAATTTATGTCAAAAAATTATAAAATAAGAACTGTTATTATTTAAAGAAATAACTTGGAAACTTACCCTAAAGGGGAGATACTGTGAGCACCAAGGTGTTCTTTCTGGGTGAGGCTCCTTCACTGCGCTCCGAATATGCTGACTCCATGATTGCCCCAAATTTGAAAAAGTACATAATTTGTGACTGTGGAGAGCCTTATTCTCACATTCCCCTTATTTTTGTGCTAAAAGCAACTTAGTCAATCCTGAAAAGTTAAAAAATTAAACATAATGCTTAAATTCATATCTTTAAAATATCAAGTAATAAAGGAAAATTAATAGAGAAAACTGAAAACTGAACTGTGTGGAGATTTATAAGCAAAAATGAATAAATGCTATAAGACAGAGGAAGTAAGTTATAATGGCAAATTAAATGTTTTATACCATACTTCACGAGAATGGACTTTGGTTAGAAAAGTAAAATGGTGATTCTTGTTATACTTCCAAGGTGATGCTCATCTTTTCTTACAGCATTCTGTGCAAGATAGATTCTAATCTTCTCAAAGTAATTAATGTTAGAAATCACAATGCAGGAATCGAATTCAAACAGCAGAACTTGGTTTCAGAAATCAATATTAATATCTTGTGACACTTTAAATACAGAAAAATCAACTAAGGATTCTGATCAGTTTTCTGGAACTAAAAGAATGTATGATATGCCTGTATGTACATTTAAACATATATACACATATATGTATAGATGTGAACTCATCTTGCATTATGATTTTTATTTAAATTTTATTTAAATGAGATAGACATAAAATATACATGTGATTGTTTCCAATGAATAAGTAGATTATTTTCTCCTTAAAAGGATATAAGCAGGATGACTGTTCAGTATAGTACAGGTGAATTTACCCTCACATCTCACCTGTTTCTAGCTCACTAGCGATCAGGCCACCCCTCACTCCACTTTTGTATCCCTGTAGGTCATCACCTGCCGGGCAGCTATTGCCTGGACAGCAAATGCACCCATGTCCATTGAGAAGATTGAAGTTGATCCACCAAAGGCTGGCGAGGTTCGAATTAAGGTAATAAATGATGGTACACTCAGTAGATGTGGATGCATATATGTGATGTCATACTTTAGGAAACAAATGGTATTCTATATTAAAGAGAGTTACGACTTCTATGATTCATAATTGATTGACTATGTTAGCATGTAGTAATAGTGAGGTAGGTTGCTGCATTTTGTTAAAATGCTACAAACCTAAGATATATCCATAGTAAGTAGTCAGTAATAGTTTTAAAACACTATCATTTTCTAGATTTAAAATCAGACTGGGGAGTTGGTTCGGTAGATAAAGTACTTGTTATGCAAGCACAAAGACCTGAGTTCAAATCCCCAGACCTCACATAAGAGCTAGGCAAAAGGCCTATATCTATAGCCAGAATTGGAGACAGGAGAATCCCTACAACTTTTTGGCCAACCAGTGTAGCCAAAGCTTCTGTTTCAGTGGGAGACCTTGTCTCAAAAGGAGAGAGAGAGAAAAAAAAAAAACAAATGAGAAAAGATATCTAGACTTCTGCCTCTGCTTTGTGCACCCACTCACGCACACATATGTGTATACACACACACACATACACACACACACACACAGGGAACTCTCATATACACACAGAGAAAAGCTCATGATACAGTTTCTCTATCTCTCTCACACATACACATATATACACACACATGAAACTCTTCCATACACACAGAGAGAGAAAAGCTCATGAATATATTCTCTGTCTCTCTCATACACACATATACACACGTGTGCACATGCACACACACAGGAAAACTCATGCATACATGCACACATACACACACAAATTAAGATTTGTGAAAATCAAACAAAACTGTTCCTAAGCCTCCTTTTCCCCCAATTACAGAGCTATTCTGATATAAAGTTATTTGATGGCTGTAGGTGTCTTCCAAAACTTGTGCTGAATTGTAGTTGCAAATATAGTGGTTCCGGGACAATGCCTCTAAGAAGTGAGTGTGTAAATTGTGGGGTCTTTGCCCTGTGGATGGATTAAAGCTGTTCCAGTAGGTTTTCAGTAGCTGTTCCAGTTGCATACAGGCCCCTAATGAAAGCATGATTCTACACCTACCCAACTCTCTATCACACACATTCAACTGCTGTTTGCCATATTGTAAGAGCAGAGAGGCCCTTTTTGTGTGAGAGACACCCTACTCTTAGATTCAGCAGATTCCACAGTCATGAGCCAAATAAACTGATAGTGTAAGAGTGACACAGTAGGTGACATTCTATGACATCCGTAGAAAAATAGACTGAGACAATAATGTGTTCGGCTACAGTAGGAGTGACTAAGAGGCCCGGGTCCCCTCTCCCACACTGGTTCACTAAGGGACTCCGCTACAGGTACAGCAGATCTACACCGCTAGAGATGAATACCCACCTTCCTCCCCATTCTCATTAATTGAGAAAAGTTTGCACGCTAGGCAGGGCCAGGTGAAGTCTGAGACTGCCCCAGAAGGCATCACAGAATACTATGTCTATACGGTTTAAACAAGATTTAGTTTCTCACAGTTCCAGAGTCTGGAAGTCTCCCAAATGAGGGTGCCAGTGTGGCTGGGTGAAAGCCTCATCATGACTTAGACACGATGCTCATCCTGCTGTACCTTTGTATGTGTGAGAGGGAGAGGGGGAGAAGGAAGCTCTTTCTTGGTAAAGACAGCAATCTCATCATGGAGCTCTGACTTCATGGCTTCATCTGAAGCTGACTAACCCTCAGGGCTTCCATCTCGAAATGCTAGCATACTGGGGGCTGGCTGGGCTCACTATATGTAAAAGGTATACAATTCAGTTTATAGCAATAACTCATGATGTCATTCCCCTGCTCATGGGGAAGAGGTGTCACTTTAGGGGAGTAAGTCACTACCTTCACCCCAACTCTGCCACACTATATAGATGTCCTAACCACGGGAAGAGGCAAGTGGGAGGTATCAGCATTACACGGCTCTGTAAAGGGGCTTTGTAAAAGAGAGCGGGAGAATTCATATCTTGAGAAGTTATGACAAACAAAGAACTGTTTCAGTCTGTTTTCTGTTACTATAATATAGCTGGGTATTTTACGGTTATTTAACTCGCAGTTTCAGGTTCGAGTGTATTGCTCCTATCTAACAGCTTCTGGTAAAAACTCATGCTCTCTTACAATGCAGAGAAGAGTACTACTTACTTCACTTTCTTGGTAACTAGTCCAGTCTTGCTAGGCCTAACTCATTCCGATGAGATTTAATACAGTCTCTTTTTAAAAGATGTCCTTCGTTGTTAAAGCGGCTGTAAGTATGTGTGTGTTGTATGTGTATGTGTGTGTATCTGTGTGTTTGTGTACACTGTGCTGGTGCCTCTAGAGGCCACAAAAAGACAACTGATACACTGAAGCTAGAATTACAGACAGTTTGAGCTGCCCAACTTGGGTACTAAGAATCGAACTCGGGTTCTTTGCAGAAGCAGAAAGCATTCTTAAATGATAAACCATCTTAACCAGCCTCTCCATCTAGTCTCCTGAGGAAGACATTAAGCCATCATGAGGGCAGCTCACTAGACCCCATCCATCAAAGTTATTGCTCCCTCTTAATATTTGTTATGCTGGGGAACAAGAGTTGAGTATGTGAACTTCTTAGGCAAACCACACTGAACTCATACCAGAGATCTTTGTTATTAGTGACTAAGAGAGGCCTGGAAACCCCAAGATCACAGCAGCAGCCAGCAAGCAACACAGAGAACTGAGCACAAATACAGTTAACGGCCCATGCTGAGATCATGTGAACCTCTGGAGATCTAGAGCTGTGGGCCAGCCAAGGCTGCTTTCCCTGAAGATCAACCAGAGTGGGTATTCGAGAGCAGCACACAAACAAACAAAAGGAGATTGAGAGGTGAAATTGTAGGGCAACTATTTGGGCCAAAGGCCTGAACAAAGAGACCAAGAAAACATAAATATCTTCCACACCTTAAGAGCCCAAAGGAATAAAGAAAATAAACATCAAAGTGGACAATCGGATCACCAAAAGAGAAGAGCAATTTTACAAAGAATTTGGAAAGCTCCAAGATCAATTTCTGCTGGCCAGAACAAATAATAAAAATAAAGAGAATGTCTAGATAAAACTGGTTAGTGCTGTCAACATGTTCCAAGTAAAATCTGCGATCTGAACCTGATGTGACTTGCCTCCAGTTCCATCCAGCTGGAGAATCTCACTACCTTGGAGGAAAACTAAGTGATCTCTGAATTGGAACAGCTAGAGAAAGAAAATAATTGTTGTGAAGAAAAAAACAAGAAAACTGTATACTGCAGAAGTCTTTGAAGAGTTCTAAAGCCTTCAATTTCCTTTTTGCATGTTAGTTCGTATCATGAAACAGCATGCAGGATGGGGATGAGAAAGCTGGTACAAAAAGCCTTTGGACTGAGACTGTGTGACTTCTTGCCGGGAGGCAAGAAAAACACTACAGTGTCACCCAGGCTTCCCTCAAATATGTGAGCCCATGTATCAGAAGTTCCCACTGTTTGCTTCACCATATCCCACAGAATGTTTAACTATTTGTAGCAATGTGCCGGAAAGAATTCAGCGATGATGTTTGCTATGTTAAGGCAGTCTGGGCAAAATTAGGAAGACAAGAGAAGCCAAGTGCTATGTTCTATGGGCACAATAATACCACAAATGTGAAAATGTGTAGCCCTGACATTAAAGAGCATATTCTGCTTCTAGACTTGAAGTTACATCATATTTTTCTCTGAAGACTCAATAATTTTATGACCAGGTATTTTTAATATATGCATACAATATGTTTTGATCATATTCACCCCTACTCTTACCTCAACTCTTCATGGATTCACTGCCCACCTTCCTAGCCTCTCCCTACTTCGTTTCCTTTTTCTTTTTTAACACCTCACTGAGTCCAGTTTATGTATTCATGGTGTGGAGCCATCTACTGAAGCATCGTTGACCCACCAAGGATCATGCTCTTACAGAAAACCGACTCACTTAGCAGCCAACAACTGTCCATAGCTCCTCAGCTAGGTGTGAGGGCCTGTGACCCCTCCCTCTTGGGATGTGGAATGGCTTGATCTTGCTCTCATCTGCTGTGCATGCAGTGGTCCTGTCATGTCCTGAGGATGCTGTTTTTCCATAGTCTTCCTTGACCTCTGGCTCTTCTATTCTTCCTGACCCATCTCCACAAAATTGCCCCAGCCTTGGGGAGATGTGTGACACAGACATCCCATTTGTGGAAGGGCATGCCACACACGCTCTCTGCACTTTGACTAGTTGTGAGTTCCTCCATTAGCTGCCACCCACAGCACAAAGAAGCTTCTCTGAGGATGTCTGAGACCTGTACTAATCTAGAAGTAAGAATGTCTTTAGAGAACAGTGTGATATGATGTCCATTTACCAATAAAACAATAGTAATAGGTTTACCTCCAGAACCTATGAGCCAATGAGTTTTTAGCCATATTTATGGTACCAGGCATGTTTTCCTTTCTGTAAAGTGGGCCTTCAATACAACCAGAGAGTGTCTGGTTGCCCCCATCACGTTCATGTCACTACTGCATCTATGGGCACATCCTGTCCTACCAGGTTAGTCATTATTGTAGCTTGCAGAGTTCACAAATGAAACTGTTGGTGACTTTTCTCTCCTGGTAGCACACAGAACCTTCTAGTACTATGAAAGGAATCCAGCAGGGAGAAAGCATCTCAGTCAGTACCTGCTTAGGGTTTCCATTACTGTAGTGTTTTCAGTAATAGAATCTTACCAACAAGCTCCTGGTGAATAACCAAGAACCATCACAACAGCTTATGTTGTGTGAAGGGTCTCCCAAGACACCCATGGCCAACAGCTCAAGGTACAGATATCGCAGATCTGGCACTGGATTTCATATTTGGCAGCCTATGGCTTCTGGGAGGACACACACACACACACACAATTAAGGAAATTATAAAATAGTAGGTTTTCTTATGGCTTTTTAAAATATCCTCAGCGTTAATTATCCCTGCCTTCCCTCCTACTCTCCCCCACCTTCCCATATTTCATTTTCACCTGTGTTCTAGTCCTTCTTTAAAACATTTTCTTCTTTCTCCCCCTAGTGGCTCCTTTCAGTTTTCCTGGTGTATTAGTTAGGATTTAAATTACTGTGATAAAACACTATAGTCAAAAGCAACTTGGGACAGAAAGGGTTTATTTTATCTTACAACTCTTACATTACAGTCCACCACGAAGGGAGTTTGGGGCAGGAACTCAAGGTAAAACGGAAACAGAGGCCACAGAGGAGTGCTGCTTACTGGCTTGCTCACTCATGGCTTGCTCACCCTGCTTTCTTGCACACCTGGGACCACCAGCCCAAGATTACACTGCCCAGAGTGAACAGAACTCCCCCACCTCAATTATTAGGAAAACACCCTGCAGACTTTACTACAGTTGGGGACTTCTTTCAATTAATATTCTCTCTTCCCAGTTATATCTAGACTGTATCAAGTTAATAAAAAACCAACCAGTATACCTGACTCTACAAATACTCCAAATTAATCATGTAAAACTAAAAAGTTGATGCTGGAATCCACATATCAGTGAGAACAGAATGAGTTTTTCTGTTTGTCACCAGGCATTTTATCTTCAATTATTTCATCATCTTTCAGATTATATCCTCTGGGATCTGTGGTACTGATAACCATATCCTGGAAGGGAAAAACAAAGTGCCACTTCCTGCCATCCTGGGCCATGAGGGAGCTGGAGTTGTGGAGAGTATTGGACCAGGAGTAACTACTGTAAAACCAGGTAGGTGACTACACATGATAATTGATGCTATCTAGGCATGCAGGAATAGGATTGGCTTCTATGCCAATTAAAAATTAAGAGGCAGGGGAAAGATGTTACCAGAAATTATGGGAATTCCAGGAGAGACATCATGTAATAACATGGAAATCAGGGTCCCTCATGAGGATCTTAGTTTTATTAATGAAAGAATTAAAAAACAATCACAAATAAGCTTGAGAACAAAGAATAGACTCAAACAGAAGCTTGAAGACAGTTTACTGGGGCCTAAAAGGGAAACCCCGGGGCAGGCAAGCAGGAAGGGAGAGAAAGAGTGCAGAAAAGAAGGAATGAAGGTCATGCTGCTTGCACTGAGGCAGCATGGACAGCCACAAGTCGAGAAAGGGAGCTTTAGAATAAAGAGTAGGGAAGCCCAAAGTGTTAAGTTATAGTGTGTAAGAGAATACATAGGCTATGGCAAGCACTTGAAAGGAAAAAAAGAAATGGGTCTTTCTAAGAGAGCCTCAGAAATGGGAGCAGATCCTGAGCCTCACACTGGGTTGGCTGGTAGAGATAGCATTATGAGTCAGAATTCTGGAAAGGAAAAGTGTGTTATCTTCAGATAAACCCATCTTCTTATGGGTGGCCCCTAGCCATGCCCTGTGTATTATCTCTTAAGGGAGGAGACAAGGGTCTCCAACTAGAGGCAGATTCCATTCTTTACAATATAGCACCAATTCCTTTCCTAATTCCCACTCTGATTCTTCCTGAGGTAACATAAAGACCCCAGAACTCATCATATACTGACAAAACCATTAAACTGCATCCAGATATCAGATATAGAACAAGAAACAGGCCACCTGAGACCCATAATCCCAGGCTAAAGATGGGTTACAGTGGTATGACATGCTTGCCTATCATGCACAAGGCTGTGCTCAACTCCCAGCACAGAAAAATAGTTCATGCATAAAAACTATTTTGTGTTTGACTAAAACGGTCTAGAGAATTCTTCTCCTATCATTTATATAAACATCAGCTCACACCAGCCTGCCTAAAATTAAACTGAGAATCACAATCTATACAATGCATCACAATGCTGTTAAACATACAGTGTATGTGTGCTTAAAGAGCCTTTTCTACATATGTGCACATGCATGCACACACATATGTGAACTAATCTTTTCAATTGTGCAAACAGAGTAACATCATGTGTAAGAGCTTCTTCTAGAATTTGTATTTACTCTCCCCACACTATGGGCCTTCATGTTTCAAATATTGATATTATTCTAACAAAAACTTTGTCATAGATTTTTTTTTGTTTTCCTTTTTGTATATTGTGGACATGCTATGTGAGAAACATGGGTGAAGATATTTGTGTCTTTTCATGATTGCAGAATGTACTGCGTAACAACAAGTCTACACAATACAGCAGTTCCTGATTGCCTTGGTATCTAGCACCGGCCGAGGCAAACAAGAGTTGTCTTATTGCCATCCTAATTACCAATGTTAACTCTCTGATCACACGCTAAACATATCTGTTTGTATGTTGAGGGTGGGGGCTACAGAACGGGTACCTATGTCAGTTGCAGAGGAAAGGAATTTCAAGGGACCTAAGAGGCAAAGCTGGAAAACTGAAAGAAATGAAAATAGATGGAGGCTTTGGGAGGGGTGAGATCAACCACATGTGTCTTTCTTGCATTCACCTAGGAATAGAGTCATCACCCTCCACTCTCAAAATGGAGGAAAATCAAGTCTTTCGGGGAAATGACTCTGAAAAACCAATTTTACAGAATATGGAGTAACTCAGGCAAGGCACATATTGACCTTAATCATGTATGAAGAAATAGATGCTCTGAAAAAAAAAATTGATCCCCTTGTTTGATTAATTTAGCTACTTAATGGCAGAATAGGATTAAGGGCACAGGGTGACCCTCCTCAAGTTCTAGCATAATACATCGTCTCATAATGAGGACTCATCCTAATTTAGCTCAAGCATAACTCACTCTTCCAATAAATATGGAGAATGTACACTAAGGACAAATTCTACTCTTTTCCTAGAATACTGAGACAAATAGACAAGCCTTACACACCACAAACACTGATGTCACTGTTAGACATAGTTGTCTCTTACCTTTGACCCTCAATATCATGAGATGTAAATGCCCAAATTCTTTTTTTCTTTTAATTTTGAAGGTCTATTTATATTAAAGTTGATTTTTGTTTGTGTTTTTTTGTGGGTTTTTTTATTGCTTTGTTTTTTGTTGTTGTTATTGTTTTGTTCTTTTGAGACAAGGTTTCTCTGTGTAGCCTTGGCTGTCCTGGACTTTCTTTGTAGACCAGGCTGGCCTCGAACTCACAGAGATCCACCTTCCTCTGCCTCTTGAGTGCTGATATTACAGAGGTGTGCCACTGCACCTGGCTAAGTTGATCTTTTTAATCCCATGATGAAATGATGTTTAAACTCAAACATAGTGCTACAGACAGCTCTTGTTATAACAAACTGATCACATCTGCAATAAACAGTTCCCAGTGGGAGTAACTGGATTTCAGGTTTCCCCTATGTTGGTCATAATATTTTGTTTTGTTTTTTCCTCCTCAGGAGATAAAGTCTTAGTGTTCCCTCTTCCAGAATGCAGAGAATGCATCTATTGCCTGCACCCTACAGGCAACTTCTGTAAGAAAGAAAAGTTAGTTTCAGTTTCCTCAACTTCTTACCTCATTTGCTTTCCTCAGTACAGGAGTTGTCTTAACCCTGATAATGTCTTTTTATTTCTCTTTTTTGTTGCTCTGTGTCTGGGGAACAGTCTTCTCTCTCCAACTGGATTAATGTTAGATGGAACCAGCAGATTTACCTGCAGAGGGAAGAAAATCTATCATATTTATGGGACCAGCACATTCACAGAATATACTGTGGTAGATGAAATCTCAGTGGTGAAGATTGATGAGGCTGCTCCTATGGATAAAGTCTGTGTTGTGAGCTGTGAGGTGCCAACAGGCTTTGGAGCTGTATTTAACACAGCACAGGTAAGAACACCTGTGTTCTTTCTGAGTTCTTCTCAGTGTGATTGTCTCCATGGTAAACAGGGAGCCACATAGCTGGAGCGTTCCTTCCATTATTGACAAAACCAAAGGGCTTTTTCCCTCTCTTCACTTCCTACTAACACAAGATCACCTTTGAAAGCCTAACAAAAGTTTATCCTCTGAAACTTCAGGTCACCCGCGGCTCTACCTGTGTGGTTTTTGGACTCGGAGGGGTTGGATCAGCCATTGTCATGGCCTGCAAAGCCTCTGGGGCTTCTAGAATCATCGGGGTTGACATCAATGAGCAGAAGTTTCCTCGGGCAAGGGCCTTGGGTGTCACTGACTGTCTCAATCCTAAGAAGCTCAAGAAACCCGTCCATGAGGTGGTAATGGAAATGACGAGTATTGGAGTTGACTTTGCCTTTGAGGCCATTGGCCTCACTGAAACCATGGTATGTATCTTGGGCACAATAGGGGCACAGGTTATTAACACAGTTACTTCAGAGAGACAGGAATTTACAGCAATTTGTTCTATTTGGGAGGGTTGCTGCAAATTGAACCGACAGCCTCCAGCACACTAAGCACAGTTTTACACCCTAGTCCTGTTGCAGGGCTATAAATTTTTATGTAGCATTTTTGAGCACATTGCTGTGCCTTGACTGTTCTGAGTTATTAGCCTATTCTATCCCATTTGTCAATTAGTCAGTCTTTCTAGACAATTAATAACACCATCTTCATTTTAAAGATTGAAAATATTAAACATAGTAAATTTAAACAGCTTACTCAAGGTATCATAGTAAAAATATTCCATGCTGTTTGATCATAGAATGTCTTCCACATCCTCCCTGAAAGAATATATTAGCATTGTTATCAAACTTGGGGAATACAAACTGTGCCCCAAGTCACACCTGGCTACCCATCCTCAATAAGCCAATTTAAAAAGCAAATTTAAAAGTGGAAAACATAAGAAGGATATTTATTCAATGTGGTCACACTGGGAAGAGGGACAATAGGACCCAAAGAAGCAACCAAATCCACCTTCTGGGTCCTGAAGTGATGGCAACATTTAAACAGATAAACACATCTAAGCACTCTGGTCAAGGAGTGGTCCCACCTACCCTTGGCCAATCCTTGTCTGGGCTTCAGTCTCATCCTCATCACAGTTAGAACTGTGTAAAAACCTTTCTCTAGGAGACAAGTTCTTCCTCTGGTTGGTACCTTTTTCTTCTCCTAGGATGAGACTCATGGGAAAGTGCTCATTTCTTTGAGGTTATTTGTTTCAATAGTCTCCTGGTCCGACTGAGAGATATGAGGGCCTCTTCAGGGGATCTTCATTTCCAGCAGGCCAGTTACAAGTTATATGTAAATGTATGTAAACACTACTAAGATACTAATCAGTCTGTTTCCAGATCGCAGCTTTGAAATCATGCCATGTGAGCTACGGAGTGTGTGTGATCATGGGAGTAGCTCCCACAGAGTCACAGCTTTCTTTTGACCCAGTGGTGCTTCTCCCTGGGAGGACCCTGAAATCTTCTGCTATGGGAGGTAGGTCTTTTAGTTTCCTCTCTCTTTCCAGAACCCTAAATCCCCTGCAAGCTCCTTGGAGGGAATCAAGAAGGGAAACTGAAGTGCAAGTTGAATATGAAGTATGACTACAGCCTCCTTAACCACATAACAGAGATATGTTTCCACTGACAAGCAGTCTACTACACACATTTCATCTTTCAGACACTCAAGAATTATCTAACTTGTGTAAAGCTCCCCAAACTAAACCGTAAGAAGTAACTGAATGCTGGGAATGACTCAGCTATTTTTTTTTTTTGTCCATTTTCTGCCAGCATATATGTATGTATGGACCTCACTTGTGTGCTTGGTGCCCTCAAAGGTTAGAAGAGGATATTAGATCCTCTGGATCTGAAGTTAACAGATGGTTGTAAATGACCATGTGAATGCTAGAAATTGAACCCAGGTCCTCTGGAAGAGAAACAAGTGCTGTTAACCAATAAGCCATCTCTCTAGCCTGTGTCAGGATATTTTTATCAGAGCAAAAAGAAAAGGAAGAAAGAAAGAAAGAAAGAAAGAAAGAAAGAAAGAAAGAAAGAAAGAAAGAAAGAAAGAAAGAAAGAAAGAAAGAAGGAAGGAAGGAAGGAAGGAAGGAAGGAAGGAAGGAAGGAAGGAAGGAAGGAAGGAAGTGAAATAAGAAAAGATGGGTTTTGTTTAGCCAAGATGACCTCAACAGTGTGCCATATGGTTTGGACTCAAGTCTTTGGCTGCTAAGGGCTATCAAATACAGCCTTCTTGCGCCACACAAAGAGCTACACTGTTTGCAAGCCATTACTAGGCCATTGGCCTCAATCTCTCTTCCTGTCCCCAGACAATAGTCCTTGCTACCTTTCTCTCATGAGACTGATGTCCTGCAAATTTTGTGGTTTCTTTCCTGTCAGGCACTATGTTACCTTAGAGACTCTTCCATAATTTTAGGAGGACCCTAGAATCCCATACAGCTGCTGGAAAAGTAAATGTGTTTGTCTCCGGGTATCTGGATTGACCAGCTTTGTGCCTGACTGTCAGATTTTCAAACCTCAATTTTGTGCCTTTATTTATACCAGTTACTCCAATTCCAAAGTTGAAATCTATAAACACCTTATTCCCAAACACTGTGCCTTTTTGCTGAGCTGTGTTTTTCTTGTGGTGTTATTTATGACCCCCAAGTGTGTGTGCACATGAATAAAGACATGAGAGCATGCTGTAGAGATATACCAAATACTCATAGTTGATTGTAGCATATTTACCAAGAAATAAAACTAACCAAAAGGAAAGAATTAAAAGGAAGAATTAATAGGACTGGGAAGATGGCTCAGTGGTTAAGAGTGCTGACTGCTCTTCCAAAGGACCCAGGTTCAATTGGGTATATAATCTCAAATGAGACTGCGCTGGTATATTTTCTCTTCCTCTTCCTCTATAAAAAAAAGAACAGAAGTGATAGACTCAATTCAGTTATGATCACAGCCTATCAGCAAGCAGCTCTCTTTTGTCTTCAGGACACTAACCGTTGCCTGCAACACCTTCTGGCCGATTGATCTGGGTTACCAGTCTTTATTTCATTCAAGACTCGGTGATTACCTCCAATCAAATCAGCTGGAGAGTGAACATTATAGGAAGTAGTTAGTATCCTGAAAACAAAGGAGAGCTGTCGGCACACAGGTTGTAGCCATGAGAACTTCAGGTAGTA